TTGTTGGTAATAAATCTGTACCAAAAATTTGGGTAGATCTCCATGTTCTAGGTAGTGTTTCAGATCATTAATCAGATAATTTTCTTGCTAAAGTTCTTGTAGAAAGTCTTGAACCACAGTGCAAATATTGTTCAATTGCTTTTGGTTCATGTGCAGTAATTTTTCTGATTCAAACATATTGTAACACAAAAATTATTGTTGCAGTTCTGAGAATAGCTCTTTAATTTGAAAAATCTATGAAAAAAAAGTTGAGACAAATTTTTTTGCATGGATTGACTCCCTTTTTAAAGCTGAATTAAATAGTGGTGGTTTTTTTAAAATCCAACATGTGCATCACATGATATTTCAAAATTTTCAACTTTTGAGTATGGATGATCCACATTGTATAATTGTACTTACTGAACTCAATCTGATTTTTTTTATGTTTGTACTATATTCACTGCACTGCACAAAGTGTCCTGTACTCAACCTGCATATACCCTTTAAAAATGGATGAACAATTTCAAAACAAAATTTCTACTTGTGGAAAAAAAGTTAAATTATTTGTGGTTGTGAAAAGAATGATGCTTCTGTTTCTGTTATATCTTATAGAGTTAACCAGACCAGATCAGAAATTAATAATTATCATTCAATTACATATGTAAACTCAATAAGTCAGTCACTCAATAAGTCGGTTTTGGCCTAACTTGGCCAAAAATTTTCGCCCCGTCTTTTTACTATTTAAAAAAATTTGATAAGTTGGTCAATCTATATAAAGTCATGATAAGTGCTAAGTCAGTCAATCACTTAGCCCAAGTATAATTAAATGAATCGCGATAAGTCGGTCTCACGTGATATCTCATTATGTAAAGGGTCATCATTACTATTTTAGTAACGTATGATCTAATAATTTTTATTCGTAATATTTCGTCATTAGCAAATGATTATTTGTAATAAAATATCTGATGTATTTTTATGTCATCAATTGTATCCATCATGACCGACTTATCGAGTTTACATATGTAATATAATAATAATAATAATAGAGTTTCATTCAATAGAGTTTTCCCGTTCCTTGTGCAACACACACCTTCAAGAAGAATATATAAATGTTCAAATAATAAAGGTTCATTTTTTTGTATCTGGTGGAATTTAATCATGGATTTCTTGAAAAATAAAGACAAGGTTTGCTGCAAAAAGACATTTTATTAACGAATTAATAAAATATCATGATTAATTTAATTTATAATTTAGATTAGTAATGATGATTATTATATATTTGGTAAACCATGGCAAATATCAGACTTTATTGCTATTGATGATATAGTAAGAGGTGGTAAATCTCAAAGTTTTGTTGAAGCAAACCAAGATAAATCTGAATTAAGGTTTTATGGTAATTTAGATATTGAAACTTTAGGCGGTGCAGGTAATAAAAAAGTGAAAAAAAAATTTTTTCTCGTAAATTTTTGTCTACGAAAAAATTTATTTATAAAAATTAAAACCAAAATTTAGGATTTGCTTCACAACGTACAAAATCAACAACCAAAACATATGATTTATCATCATATAAAGGTTTATTGATTACTACAAAATTAGGTGATTCCAAGATTTATCAAATAAATTTAAAAGATGTGCTTCCTCCTCCTCCTGATGATGATGGCAAAGTACAATCAACAATTGAATATAGTTATTTATTTCGCGGGACTAAAGAACAAACAACAAAGTTTGTAAATTTTAAAGATTTTAAACCTTATTATCGTGGTAGACCTTGCTCTGACGAGGATAGCAACAATAAATCTTTAAATCTAACTAATATTAGAACAATAGGTTTTATGTGTGCTAGTTTATTTGGTAAACAATTCGGCGATTTTACTATTACTTTTGATAGTATTATTGCCACTAGAAACACCAATCAATAATAAATAATAAATGCTTTTTTTTTTGTAAAATTAAATACATACATAACAAGTAAAATTTGTTATGCTAAATCGGAATCACCCTATTAGCTGACTGTGACGAAAAGAAAACCCCATTTCTGCTGCTGCGCCAGCAAGATTTTCCTGCCACAATCATGTGCAGCATGAGGCCAATTTAAGTCCCCTCACTTATACCCCACCTAAAAATTTCAGGCCTTTCTCCCCCATTCTCATTCATGTACAGAAATATGTTCCTTATGTTTCGGGCAGCATTAACATCACGATTCCAGAGGGTCTGGCACATGTGTCTACATGTCCAGAGCGTCCAAAACTGTTGAGGTTTACTAAATATCCCTTCA